GCGCGCGTGCACACGCACACACACACACACACACACACACACACACACACACACACACACACACACACACACACACACACACACACACACACACACACACACACACACACACACACACACACACACACACACACACACACACACACACACACACACACACACACACATATTATATATACATATTATATATAATATATATATATATATATAATATATATATATATATATATATATATATATATATATATATTTATACACACACACACACACGCACACACAAACAGACACACATACAGATACACATACACATACACACACACACACACACATATGGTGATTCACGAAGAATCACCATATCAACAATGAACATCCCTAATTCCCCGTGCAATGTAATAATACTATTCTATCCAAATAAGCTTGCAGAGATGTTATGAAAAAAAAAATCAGGAAACCTCATATACACCAGCTGTTCTCTTTCCCTTGGGGTACATGTTCCACAGGGAGGAAAACTACTGACCCGGTGGGAATATCAGGTAATACATTTCTAATACTTACATAGATTTTGATATCAGGGCAGTTGACTATGAATTTTCATTTGAAGAAAATGAGGTATTCATAGTTGGGGTTGTGACAAGGTTTACAATTATTATAAGTGATCGTAGATAAAGCTCTTGCACACAGGGGGGAGCAAATAGAGTAAGATGGAGATAAGGAAAAGGGAGGAGTTAAGACCAAAAGACGATTAGATCAAATGGAGGGTATCTATGCGTCTAAGGAAGGGAGAGGAATATAACATGAAGAACGGCGAAAAAGAGCCATTATGAAGCAATCAGCGTTTAATAAGGGTAGAAATGGGTGTCGGAGAAGTAGGAGAACGACCCGGGGACTGAGACAAGGAACCTAGGGAAGGAGATGAAGTATCAGGAAGAACATCAGGAGTGTGAAGGATCCGAGGAAGGCCATTGTTGCGACAGAAAACATTCACGTGAGCATCCAGGTGGTAGCGGAAGGGATAATGGAGAGACAAGAGGGATGGTGCAGATGGAGAATGGGGTGTGTTGGGAGAGAGTGGGAGGAAGAGGAGTTGGGGAACATGAGAAGGATGGGCACGTATAGGAAATAGGAGTAGAGAGACTGGAGGGTGGATGAGGGAGAGGAGTATTCTCTGGATGTCCTTAAGTTTCTGGAGGGTGTTGGATGGAGGGGCCTGAAAAAGGAACGTTTTCTTATGAGGAGGAAAAGAAGAAACGGATGTCCGAGGAGCAGAGGAAGGGGTATGTGTAGGAGAGAATGTGTTAGGAGAAGATAAGGTGGAACATTTAGATTGCCTGGTGCGACAGGTGAAGTAAGGAGGGGTGGGCATCGGGGAAGTCGTAAAGATTGGAGTATCTGGATTTAAAATGGAAAAAGAATTTGAATGGGAGAAAAAGGGGATAGAATGGTAAGGGGTAGGGGAAAGAGATACTAGGGGAGATGCCGAGACATCTTGGAAAGAAGCAGAATGAAAGACAGAACTGGAACAGATAGCTAGAAAAAACCTTGCTGGTGTGTTTCCTGTCTGGCCTCGCGTAAGGTGAAGCCGAGTTTGAATCTGAGAACTGCAACCTCACACTCGAACTTTTAAGCAAGGCAGTGCCTATGAAATACATAAAGAGAACCACCACATAGAGGGAAAGCCGACTGTGGAGCGACAGTACTTGGCAGGGTGGTTAAGTCGCCAACATTTCTGACATTGACGGGGAAGGGGTTGGTGTGGTTGGGATGTTCAAAGAGATGGGATGTATTCTGAAAGTTGAGTAATGTTTCACACTGAATTAAGTTGACAGCAAGCATTGAAGAGGTGGCAGTAGCAGTGGTCAGAGCCAAGATCAAGGGAGAGGCAGGGGTTACGAAACCAGAGACTTCAATTTCAGATAGGCTAGGTGATAAAAGGGCAATCCTTAATGCCCCTAATAAGGGTACAATATTTTCCTTATTGGCCATGGTGACCCTGATTTATTTGAGCAAGAGAAGAGGTCTACTCCTCAGGGTCCCGAGGAAGGACAGGGGTTAGACGATCAACCAAAGGAATACTGTGCCCATGGTTCCCCAGACTGACACAAAACCTTTCATCCTTTCAACGTCTATTACGCCGGAAAGGTATGAATGAGAACGAATATCTTCACAATACAAGAGATGTATTTAACTGGTTTCGATTATATCTTCATCAGAAATACATGATGTATTTCTGACGAAGATATAATCGAAACCAGTTAAATACATCTCTTGTATTGTGAAGATATTCGTTCTCATTCATACCTTTCCACATTTGTCAACATGAATATGGTTCATCTATTATGCCCCCAACGGTAGCAACGGACATGGGATTGGGGGGATAGATATAGACACTCACATACTGTACATACACATACACACACACACACTCTCTCTCTCTCTCTCTCCTTTATATACATAAATAGAGAAGTGAAGGTTTGAGATTGAGGATCATAAAAAAGACAGCTTCGTTCTTTCCATATTTATTGGTAAGTTTATGAATGTGGCTTATGTGTTTGTACGTATATGAATGTGGATGTATGTGAGTGTTCAACAGTCAAATGTCTCAAAAGATATATAATGTCTCTTTACAGTATAGCATTGTCAAACTGTAAAGAGACATCACCTCAATACATATTAATATCATTATTAATAATGACCATGATAGTAATAATAATAACAAAAATAATGATATTATAATAATAATAATGGTAATAATAATAATAACAATAATAAAAATAATAATAATAAATATCATAATAATAATAAAGTCAATGAAGACAGAATGCCAATACACCAATACAAAAGAAAAAATACAAACAACAATATACATTAGCACCTACTCCCATATAATAAGAAAATAAAGAAAAAAGAAAAAATACAAACAACAATATACATTAGCACATAAATTCAATGGCATTACGAAGTAAGTCTAATCTTCTTCGCCGTTTCAGGTTCTTCGTATTCCACTTCTAACTGAGCTTTCCCTCGTCGCTTGATCACCTTGGGCTTGGCTTTCATGACTTTCCTTCTCTCTTCCTCTTTGTCGTCGACCTCATCATCGTCATCGCTGCCTTCATCCGAATCCTCGCTGATGTCCCCCAGGCGATCTGCAGCACTCTGTAATTCCAAACGGATGAATTGTTAAGGTCATACAACAAATATACTTATAAATAGATAAATAAAATTAAGTCCACTTCCAGAACCTTTTTTCTTCCAGATGAAGAAAACAAAAAAAGTAATGAAAATCAAGTAACTTGTCACCCCCCCCCTAAAAAAAATCATACATAAAAATATTATAAATACATATATACAACAAATATACTTATAAATAGATAAATAAAATTAATAACAAATCAAAAACAGTCCCTATCAAACCTCATATATTTTCTCCATTCCTTGAATTCTCAGAGAAAGCTCTGTTCTCAATTGTAGCATAATTGTTAATGATCCTGTACTGCAAATTAATAATGATATCAACAGTCAAAATCATTATAAATCAATTAATAAATAAAAAAATCAAGAAAGAGGATAAAAAGGCAAGATTAGATAGGCCTAGTAATTGATTCCTTGGTGAATAAGAATGTGTGAAACAATCGCAGTGCAAGCAAAATTAATAAAACAACATCACAGTGAACAGTGCATGTACTCAGTACCAATCGGTTATGCTACTGATAATGAAAATGATAATAAAAAAAAAAACTGCTACACGATGATACACACATACTGTCTACGATATTACAGAAAAAATAAATTCACAAGTACCTCAAAGTCTTCTTCATCACTCTCATCGAAGTCAGCAACAAATTCCCGTGTTTCTTCATCATCCTCTTCTTCGTCACCAGAGTCGTCTTCATCACTACTTAACTGAAAATGTAAAGGAATGTTAAAGTTAAAGTAATATGGAGTAGATTCTTTATGTTAATTTATGACTAAGCATTCTAGAACATAGTATTTGTGTTCATTTTAACAATAATGGATTCAATTTGGTCACTGCTATATCCAACTTTAATCAAAGTTTTGAGAGAATATCTAAAAAAAAAAAAACTTAATCATAATAAAATTTAAAAAAAAAAAAAAAATCTTTGTCGATTAACATCTATTCTATACTATCAAGATAATTACAAAATGGAATCCCTTTAACACCAAAGTATCATACAACCATCACCACAAATCAGATGCATCTACACATCAACTGGTTCCTCCATCACCACAGGCCAAAAGTTCCCAAACCCCCTACCAGGGACTCTGTGATGGTCAGAAGACATATATAGGAATAAATGTCCAGGGGAACATATATTCCTAATAAAAAGCTCATCAAACACTACACTATCAGCTACATAACAAACAACAAAAGAAAAAAAGAACTGTAACTACAGTGCAAACACAATCACCATCTAGAACAAATCATCATCCTTGCCATAGCAAGCTCATAAAATTAAAAATGAAAAAATTTCCTAGTCATGACTGGATTAAAAGATCACTACACATAAAAGATCCAAAATATAAAAATAAATACTGATGGTGTTCACAACAACAACAACAATAATAACAACCACAATAACAGCAGCAGCATCTGCCTGTAAACAAAAGCCCTATATACTAAAAGCTAAATGAAAAATAAAAACAACAGCAATAAAAATAACAAAGTAATGGTAATTTGTAAAACCAATAACAATATTGATGATTCAAATACCTAGAAAAAAATAATTCCCTTGACACTGAAGCAAATTCATAAAGATAGGAAAACTTAGCACCAACAATTATTACCAAAAAACAGTCTACAAAAAGGTTAGTCTGCAACGAACATCCCACACCTATCTTAAAAAGTTACTGGAACTGTAATTTTGTTTTTTGCTTGTCCTAACAATCATAATTCAACTATAAATGAACAAACTTACCTCATCATCATCATCGTCATCTTCATCGTCATCATCATCATCATCATTTACGACTTCTTTTTCCAACTGTCCTTCCACATCTTCATCTGTCTCCACCTCTTCTTCTCTATCTTCATCATACTCCACTTCATCAATATCGCTCTCTACTTCTTCGCCGTCAACCCTCACATCAAAGGCTTCTTGTGGGAAGTTGTATATACGTTCATACTGCAAAGCAGAACCAATTAATTGCATCAAATGTTCTTTTATATGGGTACAGGCATATGAATACATGCACACATATACCCTCAACCAATCAATCACATACCCTCTATTACAATTTCCCCCCCCCCTATTATACAAACATGACAAAAAACAAACATTATCTTCCTTACCGTTCCCTCCTTGAGTCTCTGCAAAAGCTGTTTCTCAATAGCATTGTCAATTCTCGCTGCAACAAGAGCTTTCTCTTCACGTCTCTTCAATCGCACTTCCTGTTTCCGTCTTAATGGAATCAACTTTTTCCTGAAAGGGTCCAGTTATTTTAGTTATCTGTGAACAGTATATGATATTCCTGTGTGAATTAATGAAGAAATATTATCTTACTGCTTCCATGAACCATAAATATCATATGCTTTGATGAGAAAGGCTGTCTCCCTATAGGCAAGTTATGCCCTAACAGACACAGTTCTGACCATGTGGACTAAGCATTGAGGTGGCTGGAAGCTTTTGTGTTAATTTCTTTCATAAAAAGCATGAAGGCCTTATATCATCAAACATGTCTGTATCAAAGCCACAAACCAAAACTTTATCATTGTACATATGGCATGAAAATGTGTCATGAAAAAACGTGTTTCCTACATATGATACATGCCACCATGCTTACTCACATCAAGACATTAGACCTTTTGGCATTAAGTCAACCCTGGGACATGAGGTTAATAATAATGATACTGAGTATGATAATAATAATGATAATGCCAAAGATAATGACAGTGATAATGATCATAATCTTCATTATAATTATATTAATATTAATAATAATAATGCTGTTAATGTATAATGGTGATATTGACACTGATCTAGGAACATCAAATCACACTGAATAAAAGAATCAAAATCTCTATCCATAAACAATTTATATCAGAATCAAAATGGAATCTGTCATTATATACTCTAATTCAGATTTAAAATTCAGTTATTAAGGACACCTCTACAGTATGTCATTCCCTCAAGATTACTCTTGCTATCCCATAAGTTTCTGTCAACAATTCCATATAGTATTTGTATCTGATTCCTAAATTCACCTTTTCTCTTTTTTCTATTTTTTTGTTAATGTTCTTATTCACTTCTTTCTACTCCTGCAACTTCTAAGCTTTAAAGGATGAAATAGGGTAGTTGTTGTTCTCTAGTATGTGACATGCTGGACAAAACAAAATAGAAGTCATCCTTTAAAAAGTGTCCAAAATGTTCTTACCATAAACATCAAAATCAAAATAATAAAAGATCAAGCAACTGTATTGCCCACAGGAAGCTTTAAACTTCGTTGTTAATTAGGAGATAAATGTTACATTTCATAATAGATTACATCTTTTTCTTTAAATTTAACTTGTACATAAACCAGCCTTCATTATTCATTGGCTAAAATAAATTCTATGCAATATCCCATAATGTATAAAGACAGAAATCGTATGTTATACACAAACAAACACCTTTACTTACTTCCTTCCTAATTTCAGCTTTCTCATACGAGTCAAATACTGTGTGATTTTCAGAAGCCTCTGTCTGCATTTTTGGCGGAAATACTTCTTCCAGAACACCAGATTTTCGTCGATTTGTTGCAGAGCTTTGACAAAATTCCGAGAAAGTTTGACTTTCTCCCATTGTTTTGCTGGGAATGGGCATCTGTAAAAATGCATACAGGGTAAGAAATCCACACCATATATATCATCTACCACATAGAGAGATAATTTTAAAAACTTTCTGCAATACAGATTCTTTTTCTTTCTTCCATCATGTAAAGTTATAGTTACTGTTAGCCCAATAATTGTAGTGTATCAAGGTATCTATTGTCATACATTGATAATAATTCTAACTTTTTCTTATGTCTGCTTTATAGTACTGACAAATCAATCTTCAACAGACACTATTACCTTGAGTGAAGTTTAAGTATCTAATAACTGCTCTACACGAGTTGGTAAAACATATACAAACAATACCTCTTTGAAGTGACTGTGATATTGGAAACTCAAAATATGAATAGTCATTATCATTTAGTGCAGAAGGTATAACACAGAATACATAATACAGAGGTAATGCAGAGAGCATTATAAAAGTCAGATATCTAACAAGTAAATACTAGAAGTAGAATAGAGTCCTTATTGGTCTAAAAAATTGAGTCAATAGTCATTTTAAACTTTACTTCATGAATTAAAAGACTGATATATGTTAGCCTCATCTAATGAAGAAAATACAACTGAACATAGCAATCTAAAACAGCAATTATTCTTATATGAAAATTGTGTGTTATGAGCAATGTATAATTGAAATATCACCTAAAAGCTCAAGGAGACCCTGTATTTTGATAATTACAATGAAGATCACTAGAGGAAATATTACCTTTCTGCTGTTCTCATATATAGATATATGATACCTTTTTCTTCTCTTACTGTAGCATACTGGCTGTTGGCAAGTGGACATGAACTTCTACTGCACAGCCCAGTCAAGTTGAATTCATTTCGGCAAAATTTTTGTGATATAGTTCTGTGGGTATAAAATATACAATATATAAATATTAATTACTAATGTGGGAAATACAGAAGAATGAGACTTTTCTTATTGCAGATATAAAGTGTCTTATTAATCAAATAAGACAATAAAAGAAGGGTTACTTACGAAATCTTAAAGGAACAAAACGACTTGTTGATGATGGTCCACACCACCTGAAGAAAAAGGAATATCATCAAGAACTATCAGAGTTATATACCACAAAATAAACAATACACATAAAGCTTCTTGTAGAATTCTGACTTTGTTATTCCTTTATAAATCTAATGAGATGGTTGTATGTATTTGAGAATGTATGATTGTGAGAAAGTGAATATATATTTGAGAAAGTATTACTGTGTAAATATTGGTGGCAAAAATAGGGATGAGATGTGAATGTAGGTTATAAGCATATGAAGTGTACAGCACATGTGGAGACGATAATTAATCCTTAAATGGCAACATAGACTACAGTATTTGCTGCTGAGGTTTCAGTCATAGCCATATTGATTTCCCATTATGTGTATCCTGCCATATCTGAGGCAAAATTTGTATTTTGCAACTTTTTATGTGTCATTCACTGAATAATCCTATTGGAAGGATGACCAGTTTCTTAACAATATGATATGACATTATGATGTGGACACTAGGAGCTACATATAAACCATACTACAGAGTACTACTGACACTGCAAAAATGAATGATGATTTGTCTTTCAGATATCTATACCTACTACATCATTATCCAGGACTGCTGAAGCCATACAGTTTTACAATGACTACATTAGACTTTTTTTCCTGAACATCAAATACCACATACAGTAATGTATTTGATCTGCAGGGGGAACGCGTTCCCCGCACAGACCAAACTCTACAGTCTGGTGTATACCCAACTATTACATGTTCTACAATTTCCTCATCATCAACTTGCATAATTTTCTTGTTATCATAGATGAAAAGTGTCTTAATTTTGTTGGTTTGTCCATTTCAGGCAAACTTTACCATGCCCCATATGGCTGTGTAAAACTAAAACTTCTGTATACCCAAATATTAACCCTTCAGAACAAAACATACATGTAACACTCTTATTTTTCCCACTCTACACGATGCGCATAAAAGTTACAAATGCACAATCACACCAAAACAATCCTATCTGGTGCCCCAGTGTACATACACATTTTACGGGAAGTAATGTACATAATTATAATAACTATCTGTCGCCTATCTGTGAAGGTGAACTTTCTCGTACAGCTACTACAGCTATGATAATCTCTGAACCCAATAATATAATATATTAATAAACAGAAACATGAACTCACATCGTCACTCTGTTGCATTGTGGTAAATTCTTTGTAACTATAGCGTTAAATACAAAAATTGGAAAATATCGCCCTTGTGCCGCACGTGTTGTATCAACGTGTTTACTATTCTGCCACGAGTGGGATACGAGGGCAAAGATTATTCTCTTTACTTATATTTCGTCTTTTTGTGGCGCATTCTTCCAGTTTTCTTTATGATATTATATGTGATTAATTCCATAGTCTTTTAGAAATTAAAAAGTATAAAAAGACCGAAATTATATAAGTTCGTAGTATTCTATTATGTTTTTCGAATTGGTTTTAAAAGATACCAATGTTGGCTATCATCCACAGAACATATTAGTTGGTCAACTTGCTGTAATAGCTAAATAAAGATAATTAATGCACATGCATAATAGGGGGATTATCTCGACCGGTGTTTTTTATTCTTAATAATGCGCAAATAGATATTTACTTTAGCTTCTCATCACAATGTCATAAATATGATGAAATGGACATATCAGCAAGGGAGTTCTGAGCTATCACAAGAGAGATTTTGTAGAAATACTAAGGCAGCTTTCCCAACTAAAAGTCCAAGGAAGTTCTTAGACTTTTTCCCCCAATGATTCAGCTTACCAGTTCCTCACTACTTAGTGATACAGATGCTGATATTATATATTTTTGTACATAAATGACATTACTACAATGTTCTCAAAGTGTCACATTAGAACGCGATAATCAGGATATATTTGATATATTTGTCGAATATATATGGAACAGTTTGTAGTTAGTAGTCATCACTCGCTCGACTAATACGGATGTAGGTCTATGCATGGAATTCCGTCAGTCTCCACGCACATTTGTATTATGTTACGGTTTTCTTCTAGTATGGCCTGTATACTTGAGAAAGAAGAATTTTGTTTAAACCGGTTATCAGGAAAAAAAAGTTATGTTAGCCTTATTAAAGAGGAATAAATAGACTATGACAATTATTTTCATTTAATAGGGGTACCCTGGAGCGTCATTAACATTGCAAGAGCAATATGAACTGTTTTGCAAGAGGTTACAAGTCACTCATAAATTGTTCAGATTACGATAACAACGTTTAAATCATTAGGGGGCACCCTTACCCTTTCATTAACTAAGCCATAACATCAATATATACTCTGTTTATACCCGTTTTTATTTTTTTCACTTTGTATGTAGCAATGTACATATAGTCACATGCATATAACTGGTATCATATATGTATATACATACGGAACTTACCCCTATGGGTTTTATGGCTCATCTCTTTTCCCTTTATTAAATGGGTGTGAGAGAAGTAGTTTTGTTTAGTGGTACGTTAGGGGGAGTCTAGAGAAATGGGTTGGGATAATGGGTTGTGTAGGTTTGGGGATGGAGGAAATTGATATGCAAGAGGTGGAGCAATAGATATGGTGTGGGATAGTCTGTCACTATACCTTTTAGAATTCGCTCTTGTTATATTCTTCGGGAAAGCAAACCAATAAGATAGTTATATAGCCTGTCTTGCAAGGGACACCTGGTTCGTTCTTATGTTATTCTTTCTAGAAGCAGACATGATAAAACGGTTTTATACCCTAAAGGTTCTCTCATCAAATAGACGATTTTATTATTATTATTATTTTATTTTATTTTTTTTTTTTTTTGAGCAGGGCAGAGGAGTTGAAGCGAGATAATATGGTCCTTGGGTAGGGATTCTCAAGGCCGAATTACCGTTGTATTTACTGAAGATTTCATCCTTATCATGTCTTGAGAAAATAAAGTTATAAATAAATAAAATTCAGTTCACTGATGGAATTTATTGTCAGTGTTATAGTCACCCCTTATTATTCACTCCGTTTTCCTTAATATATGTTGACGGGTAACTATAGTAAAACAACTAAGAAATTATTTGTTAATTTACTCGTTATCCACTACCAGATACTCCAGTTTGCATTGTATTTTTTCATTCTTCCACCATTTCTTTGTTCTGTAAATGGTCAAGTTTCACTTGTAATTGAAGCTGGGCCATAAAACCCACACGGTAGTTTCGTCATGGTATTCAAGTGATACCACCATTGCTAAATGCATATGCAGATATACACCATCAGATACTATATGCATTTTATACATTTTATTTCTTCAGAATTCTTTTATAAACCATTATATATATAGTTTATTTGCAATCAAATCTAGTATAAACATGCTTGCAATATATTCGAAACAATAGGAGTTAAATGCTTTGACTATGCATAAAATGGTTGAAATATAACCAAAATTTGATACACTTTTTCAGTTTGAATATGAAATAATTAGCTAGCACTGGACAAAATAAAGAAACAGAATAGATAAAATGATAAAATAAATTAATTAATCAATAATAATTGTCATACATAAACAAGTATGATCCAACCAATAACTCTGTATAGTTACATATCTATAGCACAGGGGTTGAGGAAGAGAAAGTCTTCTCTTTCTCAACCCCTTTCCCTTAAGATCTGTGAACTGTTAAATTTATGTCTATGGTTCAAAAGCTCACCAATAGTTTTTGTCATTCAATGAAAATCACAAAGGTAACAGTTCAGTAATACAAAGCACAAGAAAGGTTCTAGGACTCATGCATTTTCCACCACTTGGTTCTATCTATCTGTAGTATTTGTGAAACAAACTCGGATTAGTAATATTATCTTGAATACTGTTTGGAGGAAACGATTATGTGGAATAACGGTTAATATAATGGATAATAGTCATTTTGTCCATTTTCATTTTTTTTTTTTTTTTATTACAACTGAGCTCCTGTCCTTCTTCCCCTTTTTTTTGGAGGGACTATGGTAATTGTATGTTTATATTTTGAATTCCCCTATATTTCTTCTAAGTTTTGGAACTGCCCTCCTTTATGTTTTATCCACTTAACTCTGACTCAAAAATTTTGTTTTGTTTTTTAAATTGGTTTGTGCTTTTAATCTCTTGCTCATTTCTTTTTGTGCTTTCTACATTCAAGTTATGTTAAAAACAAGCCCAGTAATAGCACTACAGTTGATATTTTTATTCCTTATTTATTAAATTTCTTCTACAATTAATGATATAAACATTCTTAAGATTTCCTACATATCCTCATCTCCAATTTGGCTGTCCACTTGGCTGAAGATACTAAGTTGAAAATGAGGAATGGGTGGAATTTTTGAAAAAATTGAACCTGTAAATCTGAAGTTGATAAGCTACTCTAGTTACTTATGAACCAGTGGGATCAAATGTTAAGACATAATCTCAATAAAGATAAAGAACTTGATTCAATTCAAATGTTATTCTAAGTTTGTATAATTCCTTCCATGTGTAATATACAAACAAATCATACTTACTGGATTCATAACAATGCACTGATTTTGTACTGTAGTGAAGGCATCTCCCTTATCAGCTGTAATGATGAGGTCTGGAGTGGGATGCAAGGCAAGGCAGTGGTCTAGTCCCCAGTATACAGGCAGGACATGAAGAGGCAATGGAGCAAGATGTGCTTGGCAGATCATAGTCTTTGCAAACTGGAAAGAGACAAAGATCAAAGATTAAGTTAATGGCAATAGGGTGTAATTTCCTGATAATATACAACTGATAATTTATCCATGTAGGGAAACAAATACAAATATTTTGAAGTCTGTGTCATACTGATCATAACAACTGTATAGAAATCACTTGAAACTTCATGAAATAATGGAATATATCCTTCAGTGATATCCTTAGTGATTCAACATGAGGCAATCATCTAAAGTTTTATTAAATTTTGTTTCCTCATCTGTAACAAGTTCAGTGCATCTGATAATTAAAAAGGATACTATGACTTACATGAGCAGGAATATCATCAGAGTTATTTGGAAAGTACACACAGTTGCGGCACATTTTAGCTACAATGTTCTCTCGGAAGATAACAATCTCTTGTGTGCAGTACAGGAGGCGGCATGGATTGCTCACAAATTCTGCATTTGAAACTTTCCGTCTGATACCATCTGTTACATACTTAGGTAAGGGAGGCCTGAAAAACAAAAGTACAATAAATATACTTAATACTATTTGCCTATTTACTCAAGCCAATTACTGAATGTAAAAGCAATACCAAAGTTACACCTTAAAACCATATAAAAAATTCTTCATTCAAACCATTCAGTGAAAACAAAGACCAGATATATAAGAGGGTATCACAAAATTGATACAGTATGCAGTACCTGCAGCATTAGTTATACATAAAATTGCATCTTTTCTTTTGCCTCATGCCAAAGTGACTTATGCAAAAAATTATAAACATATATTACCTATTGTAATCTTGTTACCAATAAATTACAACCAAATCCCATAACAAGGATGTTTACTAACTTATTAACATATTCAAAACTGGATGCGTCAGTCTCAGTAGATTTCATTCTAAGATACCTTGGGAATATGTTACTTGGGCCAGGGTCACTCGGTCCAGGAACAAAAATAAACTTCGAATTGGTCTGCAAATCTGGGAATTCAGCAATAAGGTCACCCAATGCAGACAGTGCTTGACGGACATCTGCAGCCTGGAAGGTTTCATAAGATATCATTTGCAACATAATGAATATATTGAATCACAACAGAGTTAATCTTAAGAAGCACTACAATTAATGAAAGAAAAGCATAAGGATATCTTAAGGTAGAGAGAGAATCTTACACCCAAAGAGGAAAGAGGGAGATTTCCAACATATCAATAAAGGAGCCTGAATCTTATACTATAGTTGTCAGTGCTTTTGTGATTACCTCTTAGACATATAGACAAAATTCATCACTAGTATTATATCTAAATTTCTTTCATTTCCAAATCTGCATGTGTGTGTTGGGGGCAGGGTTGCATGTGTACATACTTGTGTGTGCATATATGCGTGTGTGTGGGGGTGGATATGGTTGTACAGGTGTGTGGGTTTTGTGTGAGTGGGCATACTGCTACTGAATGCAATAAACAATAATGTACATATCATACACACAGAAAATATTCACTAACCTGCTGAGATCCGTGACAAGCTGACAAGAAGTTACCACAAAATATGAATGCTGTTGGTGGAAACTGTGCATAACCAGTGAAAAGTGTTCTCAACTTCTCCATTACCTAATTTGGATAAAAAGAAAAAAAATATTTAAGAAAATAAGAAATAAATCAACCAAAATTAATCTAGTCATATATTTCAGGGTGCATCTGTACCAGCACAGCTGTTCTGAGCAGTGGCACTCACAGCTGTAACACAAGTCACTTTCCTCTTCCCTCATTACTGCATGTTCTTTTTGCAGGTCATGGTTATTATTTGCCCTCCCATAAAACTACATTACTTATATTATGAGATGTTATGGACAAATTGCTATAATTTCAATCTATCACAACATTTATAAAGCTAGTCAGATGCGTAATATCAATCTATTAATATGGTAAAATACTACAATATGACTAATATAAAAGTAGTTGAAGTATATATGTACTACAAATGAAGGAAAGACAGCAAGAAAGGATGGGCCATGTCCTGTCCCACTTGCTCATTTTGAAATAAAACCTATCTGGAACAACACAGAGCTTGCACTGTGTCATAGGTCACTCTCTACACACACACACACACACAGATATATATATATATATATATATATATATATATATATATATATATATATATATATATATATACTAAATCACGAGAGAGAGAGAGAGAGAGAGAGAGAGAGAGAGAGAGAGAGAGAGAGAGAGAGAGAGAGAGAGAGAGAGAGAGAGAGAGAGAGAGAGAGAGAGAGAGAGAGAGAGAGAGAGAGAGAGAGAGAGATTTGAAAAATACTATTCTAGATCTTGCATAAAATCACTAGTGATGCAATGTGTATTCTTATTTTTAAAAAGTAAGAACTAGAAAAGGGTACACCAGAAGATACACATTAACTCTTACCTTTATCTTATCCAACCATACATCTGACATCACCACAAACATAGACTCTTGGTTCTCCTGTTCAGCTTGCTGTAGCTTGAGAACGTTTTTTGCACAAACATTTCCTTGGCCTCCAAAGTAGTTCACATTCCCTAAAAGTGCTCTATGGGTAACAAATGACACCAATCAGACAATAAAAATGATAGATAAAGTTTATTACAAAAAAAGTAGAAAAGGTATACATGAGAATAACATGTTTTGATTTAAATCTTCATCAGATGACTTGCAATGCATCAATTACATCTTTTGCTTCATAAAGTTATTCCTTCTCATTATGTTTTTTTTCTATGTCCCAAAGAAAATGTTTATAGATCAGTTTCAATTACCAGTCACCATGACAAATACCCATTTTTTGTATTACAATTAATAAATACCCTAATAAAAAGGTTTACATTTCTACCATTAGTCGAAGGATTCTTTTACAATAACTCACCTCGTTGAGTTTGGTGTTTCAGGAGGAGGGAGGCCCACAGCATTGGCATGTAGGACACCATCTTCATACCAACCCTCCACCAGGACAAAACAGTTTTGAGTAAACAAACCTAGGAATAATAATAACCATTATTGCTCTTGTGTGGGAAAGAAAAATAAGTATTTCCTGAAGTGATCTGATGACAAGGGATTGAACAGGGCAGTTTAATCACTTTGTTGAAGCAAGCATAGTAATAAGGGCAATACTATATTTTGTGCAGATTGAATAGCCGTGACTAGTTTATACACAACTTACCTGTGTGAAACTTGGAATTAGTTAGGTTAAGAGTTACAGCTCCTGTGTCATCCTCCAAATGATGCTGGCCCTCCACTAGCTGAGTTAACAGGCCTAATACCACTACATCATCCTGCCGACTGCTTGATCCTAACAGGAACTCAACCTAGTATCATGTAATAAAAGATATAATGTTATAGGAGTTCCACCACCACTTCCTTAAATTGGAAAGAATATGTTCAACAGTGTAAATAATAGTTATAACAGTTATAGTTTACAGATCAATTTGAATGGACAATAATTTTCCACAAATAATTTTACTTGTCCAGTACTGTTACCTTCATCAGACCAAATCTCTTATCTTCATTGGCACCCACTGCAGGACGGCGAAAAAGCTCGTGGTTGCATGTTCGCTGATATACCATGGTGTACCTGATCATTCATTGAAATCAAGAATGCTTAAATGTTTGCTACTCTGAAGACAAACTGATATGGACTTTATCATGAAATGGGAAATAACTAAGAATGAAGAATTAGGGTAAACTTGGGAACTGATTCAATCTTTACTCACTGCAAATGAAGCCCATTCATTAACATATTTTCTCAATGTAATTGTGTTTAATACCATCTGAATCATTCATTTTTAAGTCTGTGTAACATATATAAAATCATCTACAAAAGAAAAACAAATTTTGTCTTTTATTTCCTATATAATTGTTTGTTTCTAGCAGACCAGTCTCATAAATCTATAAAACACAAATGAAAAATTTTCAAATATATGACATATTATGAGAATCGCAATAAGGAATGTTAAAATATGAATTCTACAAAGTACTCCTCTTTACAAGATAAAAATAAAAATGTATCATATCAATTGTATTATCTGATGAGTCGAGTCCAACTTGAGCATCACATTTTTATATTCCTCTCTTAAAATGCCTCAGTCTCATTTCATCTGATAAGTATCTTTGTTCACATGAAAGATATACCTTCAATCACATATCGACAGTGCCATATTTTGTCAACAAATACCTGTCTCTAAAGAGAGTGGCCTTATCTGGTGCATCCCCATGAAGATTCCTTGCAACAGTGGGTGCTAGCATGAATTTTCTTCGCTCAATATGGTACATTAACTTTGGAACTTTAAAGATGTCAATAATTTGAAGAAGGTTTTCCATATCATCATTTTCTGATGCACTAACATCCTGAAAAAGAAATTGAATAATAAATTCCTACTGCAGTGCAGTCCATGCCATATCTTCACTAAATGACTAGGAATAAATGAATGGTATCTGAAATAAAATGGATAGATTTGGAACCTCACTGACTTTTCACTCCATCTTTGTACACATATTAGACTACTTTATTAATAAATATTCATTACCTTTTCACATTATATCACAACAAATGTCTTACCTGAGCAGCCTTGTGAATAGCATCCTTTGATATCATTGTGGAGTTAATGGGTAGCTTTTGAACGGCCTCCACAACTTTTTCAATCCATTCTTCGTGTTCGTCTTTTGGAAGCGGCTCCAGAAGTTCACACAGGTACTTGGCTCCATCACTGAAAAGAATTATGGTAACGAATAATCAAATACAAAGACAGTAATTCGGTCTAGACCGAAAGAATTATTAGAGATTCTCTTTTTTTTCTCTTTATCTAAAAAACAAATGCTACAACCTACTTTAAAACTACTGCTGTAATATACTATTAAAGATGGTGAAGGGATGAGCACTATCAAACTGGTATATCAGGCACAAAACATGTATACATAGCCTAGGAAGGATACTGGTAAATGACATGCATAAAAATACATGCCATTGCCACTGCAGCCACACTCGAGTAAGGCCATGAGAATCAAAGTTCCTATTTTGCGTCCATCGCCCCGACAACACTCGCCAAAAAATATCATTATTTTCAATAAATTTCATAATTCCCCTAAAAATATGATTTGTTGACTTTGAAAAGCTGTTCTCTTGTCATGCCTTTTAGAGAGAATACTTTTACTAGTAAATATGTATGAAAAGTGTAATGAGTGCCCACAAGAGCTAAGAAGATTATTTGATGACTTAAAAAAGCTGTTCTCTTCTTTAGATCCTTGTAGAAATAAATAATGAATAATTAATATAGAAAAACAGCCTCATTAGTTTTCATTTTTGCCTAAACACAGAACAGGAACTTTCATTCTTGTGGCCTAAAGGACACCTAACCTCCTCTACACAAATTTGACAAGAGCTTGACCTGGTTCTTGTGCTACTGATAATTTGCTATAGATTTCAACAAAATCTGATTTCCCTATACATGGAGGTTCTTGCGCAATTTGCAGAGTGCAATTTGGGGAGACAACGGCATCGCTAGACTTTTTTTTTTAGAGAGAGAGATAGGAGTATAGAATCTATTTTCAAAATGTTATATTCCCCATATCTGCTTTGGAGATGCAAAGCAAATCATGAGAGGTTTATGGCTGTATCTTCCAAGAAAAATTATCTTAGAAGTTTGTCGACCACTGTGGGAATGCAAAGTGCGGAGGTCATGCATAATTACAAGTAAACTTGTAAACTAATATGAATAAACTCCAATTTAATAAAATACCTTAACAAATAATAAAGTAAAAATATGTAAACTCTAATCATAAACAAACCATTTTCAATCATTACCTTAGATTCTATCGTTGAATAATAGTTATCGTTTTAATTTCTATCATTTTTACAACCTTAATAGTTAATGAAGTATTTATTTTTGTCTAGAATTACTTAGTGGATTTATCCAATACAAACTTACCTTCGGATGGCCAGACCGTGCATCTTAAATACATTGGTGATATGACTCTTGAGAGACATGATGAGAAAATAAAAACAAACTTTTCTTCCTCAGGACGACATAAATAGACAAATCGTTCTTGTTTTAGATGATTATTGTTCTTTACTGCCAAGAAAATCTTCTGCTCTCGCCTTGCATCTCAGGATACGTAATTAACACTGCTTCTCTCTTAATTTTTGTTATGCTTTACGGCCTTTTCATTGAGTATTCGGTCAATAATTATATTACAGACGAATGTTTTTCACTTTTGTTGTCATAATGGGAAGGATTCTGGCGCGAAGCTCTGTGATTGGTGGAAAGTATTAGATGAAGATGTTCTCGCTTTATGATTGGCTGAACGTGTGCGATGGTTACTTTAAGATTTATCTAAAGGATTGCTATTCTGCTTCGTTGAGTATAATATTGATAATATTGATGATCATAAGATGATATATATTAATATATATATATATATATATATATATATATATATATATATATATATATATATTATATATATATGTGTGTGTGTGTGTGTGTGTGTGTGTGTGTGTGTGTGTGTGTGTGTGTGTGTGTGTGTGTGTGTGTGTGTGTGTGTGTGTGTGTGTGTGTGTGTGTGTGTGTGTGTGTGTGTGTGTGTGTGTGTGTGTGTGTGTGTATTTATATATAAACGTATATATACATTTACGTGTTTGCGTGTTCTTACTTAGTTGTTTCAATTCTCCGTTTTTTCCTATCTGAAAAGTTCACTACTGAGTCCCCTAACATATATTGGTATATGATCGATTTTTACTTCCCACGAAATAAACTACATGACATTTAAAATAATTCCACATAAATAAATTATCGATGTCCCTCAAAAGGCATTGGCATAAGACGTCATCAATTATCCTTTTTTGCATTTTCGCGTCGTCTGCAGTGATGTTTAGATAGCTACTAAAGGTAGAAATTAATTATTCTAATTACTGTGGTAATTTGTCTTTCATGTATTCAAGGGGTTTACTTTTCCTTCTATCTAGATCTAATTTCCATAAAAGTATCATTTGTGACTCTCTCAAACGCCTGTTAAAATATAACTATACACAATCTATTCAGCCTTTTCTTTCTTGTAATATTTCTGAAAGTCATGGAAACAAAAATGCTACACACGACCTTCCCTCCGTAAAACCAAATTACTTATTCTGTATCATAGACTGTTTTCTAAAGCTTACATTTATAGTGGTTCAGTTTAAAGGGTTTTGCTTGTTGTTGCTCTTATATGCTCTTATACAAGTGTGTAATGCTGGCGAGTTTTCAAGCTTTTAGTAGTCTCCCTTGTCTCACGGAATTTTGGAATTTCAACAGTAAAGGAATACATAGGCCGACTAACATAGACAGTTCTGGACTCCCTAAGAAATTTGAAGTTGTATCCTGGGATATATATATATATATATATATAATATATATATATATATATATATATATATATATATATATATACACACACACACACACACACACACACACACATATATATACATATATATACATACATATATATATACACACATACGTATATATACACACACTATGGTGTTAGTTTTAATTATGTTGATGGTAACTTGAGCTCATATTCCCGAGTCTTCTGGGGTTCCTCAGGGTAGTATGCTTGGCCCATTGCTCTTTATTTTATTCACAAGCGATATTTGGCCAGGCATTACTAATAAGATGTCGGTAAATGCCGATTATGCTTCTCTATACTAATATTCCTTCTCCAGCAATCAGGCAAATAACAGCTGACAGCCTGACTATTGCTCTTGTTTGAGGCATGAAATTAAATCCTAGCAAGTCCAAGGATATTAGTGTGCGTCGATTTAGAATGCTATTGCCTTAGCATCCAAGTCTCCTGATTAATGGAGTCCTAATTACTTCCGTGGATAATCTGAATCTCTTAGATGGAGCCCTTAACTCAAAGCTTATATTTAATTGCCGCTTAATGATAATAGCTCCGGCAGTTTCATCTAAAGGATCATTCGCAAGCGCAAGTGAATTTTTGAGGATATTACTTGTAGAAATTTCTTTTCTTCCATCCTGCCTCATTTTGATTATTGTTCTGTGTGGTTATCTGTTGCGGCTTGACACTTCGGACTGCTCGATCATTCTTTTAATTCCATTAAATTTCTCCTATCTGATTTTTATTTGAACACTGGTGTCGTAGGGATATTGGGGCTCTTTCGGTTTTATGCAAGATTGTAACCAATAATTCATGTCCTATCCATAAATTTTTACTTGATTTTTATCAACCCGCAAGCGGCAAGCCCTCAATTCTCTATAAGTTCGTCGTCTATACCTCAGTTTTCTAGGAGCTTTTTTTTGTAGCCATTGGAATAGATAATTTCTCTTAATAAGTTTAAGCTAAGTTTGTAAGAACTAAATATCTATTGATAAAAAAAAGCTTTTCTTTCTTTCTTAGCTGTTTTGACCAGAACTGATACCTTTGGTGGTATAATTCTCGATTTTTTCAGTGTGCCGCTTTATATGGCTTACCATAATAAAAGATAATATATATATTTGCACTGTCTGTCCTTCTATGTATCTTATATGATACACACACATACTTGCATATATACACTTATATATGTATGCACACACATACACACACGCCACACACACATATATATACATACACAGTGTGTGTGTAAATCTATATGCGTGTGTGTACTTATATACATATGGATACATATGGATATGTATACATATGGACAGAGATATACAAATCTATAGATTTATAGTAATAGACATAAAATACATGTTCAGTATAAATCGTGCCATTCAATACCTATAAATTTGCCTTATCAAGTATACTATCACGGGAGTCCATCGCGATATCAACATATAAATAAATATTACCAACTCTTCCAAGGATCCAATCATAATATGAATAGACAACCAGGATTTTAAAGTTCTTTATTATCAAACACACACTAGCCAAAGTCGCCATTTTGTCCTCAGCTGTTAACGAGGGAGACACCGAACTCTTCACACCGAGGAACACCTTGAACAGACACGCCTTCTCTCGTACAACACAACGACAGGAGTGGGCGGTGAATGCACTCAAAGCCGCCCACTTCCCTCTACGTTGACGTCCACCCACACCCACCGACAAAGGTTTGTGGCGAGAGCTTCATTTTTCAGCCGTAAGAAAGAGATTGTCTGCTTCGAAAGGTGTTACCAGGCTGTGATGTCGGGTCGGTGGATCTCCCTGCCTTCCAGCCGACTGCAAAAAGAGAATGTGATATTAACCACTCTGTTGATTAATTAAGAAGCACGGTTATTGAAACACTTTTTCTTCCTTCAAGTATGATATATGTAATAACCGTTTCATCTGAACAAACTTCAATTCAGAAGTTAGAATGTATATAGACCTACTTGAGTGAAAACCATAACCCTCATCTTTTCAAAAAAAAAAAAAAAAAAAAAAAAAAAAAAAAAAAAAAAATCCTTGGCATTTAGAGACACCATTATTCTACATATAACAATCACTTACGCTAACGAACGAATCGACGAGCGTCCACCACGGGGAAAACTATTGCGCCAGAAGGTAATCGATGTCATCCGAGATCCCTTCCGGTGTTTGCAAATGGCTGTAACGGACGAATAGTTTTCCGTCTCGCCCGAAGAGGAATTTTTCGAAGTTCCAGCGGACGTCGTGGACATTGAGGGAGTCGTATTCGATGCCTCCTTCGATTCTGTCTTGAGTGAAGCCGCAGTTGGTCTGTTGGAGTTGGAGAAAGGAAGGAAAAATGAGACAAGAGGGAAAGGAAAAGGGAATCAAAGGTGGAGGTGATAAGGTCTATTTCAGTCTGTTCCCCTTTTTTCATTGGGTTAATGGGGATGACTTAATAATTGCTAAATTATCGACAGTATAATAATGTGTGTGTGTGTGTGTGTGTGTGTGTGTGTGTGTGTGTGTGTGTGTGTGTGTGTGTGTGTGTGTGTGTGTGTGTGTTGCTTTCCCTACAAATCGATTTGTTCATATGCATCTTCCAATTATAATGTAATCACTTACGTATGTACCTGTCCCAAACTTTCTTTATTGGACTCCAAATAACTCGAAAATAACTTACGGTCATCCACTTCCAGATGTCATTTTGATTATTTCCGTTGACCTCGACCTTTTCCAGGAGGTCAAACTGGGGCACGAAGCCACCTCCAGGGCGCACGTGTTTGATGCCCTGGAGGATCTCGGTCTCCGTGGAACTCGGTTCTTGCTGGAAAATTCAGAGAATTGTGCTCATTATGGGGTGGCATTTGGCACACAAATACATACACACACACACACACACACATACACACATACACACACACACACACAGACACACACACATAGAGTATTGTGGTCTTTATGGGGTACCATTTTGTATACACACACACACACACACACCACGCACGCACGCACATTCTTTCCCCCCCCCCTCTCCCTCAAAAGACAGAATCTCTCTCTCTCTCTCTCTCTCTCTCTCTCTCTCTCTCTCTCTCTCTCTCTCTCTCTCTCTCTCTCTCTCTCTCTCTCTCACTCTCTCAATAAACAGAACATCCTCTTGGTACGTTTGAAACTCCATCTTAACCTTTGTAGTGTGGTTTCTTAACTGATTTGCCTTCAGTTGCCCTCGTGGAGGCATGTGGGCAATTTTGTGTTGAGCGTTGTTCGTGTACATCGTTTTAATTCTCTTTCTCTCTCTCTGTCTCCCTCCCTCCAACCGTCTCTCCCTCTCCTCCTCCCCCTCTCTTTCTTTCCATTTCTCTCTCTTTCCCTTCCCTCTTTCTCCCTCCCCCTCCTTCCCTTCCCCACCAGTCTCCTTCCCTCCCCCTCTATCCCTTTCTCCCTCCCTCCCCCTTCCCCTCTCTCTCCTTCCCCCCTTCTCTCCTCCTCCCTCTTTCTCAACTTACCAAATTGAACTGGTTGCAAGGGAAACCGAGAATGACCAGATCAGTGCCGGCGTAGGTCTCGGCGAGTGCATTCAGGCCTCTGTAGTTAGACCAAGTTAGACCTCAGTAAGTGGCCACGTTGACCAGCATCAGGACCTTGAGTTTGCGGAAAAGAAATTATAAATGAATATATACACATATATATGAAGTACTTGTCTTAAGGCTTCACTTTAAAAACGCAAAAATTCCAAGTTTTAGGTAGTAGAACTTAAACGAATATGACAAAGTTCAAACTAATTCCAAGTTTTAGGTTGTAGAATTTACACGCATATGACAAAGTTCAAACTAATTTGAAATTTTTAGGCAGTATAATTTAAACATGTTATGGTGTTAGCCTTACGAGACGCTGAAGTACCATACTCT